CAGCTGTTCGCACTTTGTGATAACCCACCTCCCCTGTCACTACCTTCTTTTCACTCAGTCCTCACCCATCTGGAATGCAGTCAGAATTTTCTAACAGACCTTCTCCCTCTCATGCCCCTTCTATAATCTAAATTCCATCGAGCACCCAGAGTCATCTTTTTGAAACCTGAATCAAGTGACATTACCAATTTACTTAAAACTACGCTGTAGCTACTACCCATGTCACAGTGTATTCACTGTATTTTCTTATCTATTCTTGGTGCTCTGTTTTGGGGGCTTCTCCGCAGGGAGGCTGCCTTTTCCTGGGAACAGTTCTCAGAGATAGCCAACTACTGACGGGGACTTGCCTTTCACATGCGAATTAGACAATCCAAAGACCCTCATGGGAACCATCCCCTTCTTCCAGGCTCTTCCATTGTAGGAGACAATATTCTGTGCTGATCATCCAGGTCCTGGTATCAGACAGACAGGGACACCCCCTCTCTCCTACAGCCTGCCAGTAGTATTCAAAATAGCCAATCCCAAGCTGTCTCCCGTGCCCTGCCTCGCCTTTCCTGTGTTAAATACAAAAGTTCTGGACCACTTTTTTGTCCTCCACTTTTGCCTCCTGACCCATCCTGGTCATCACATGGCCTTCCCTTGTGTGCCCTGCATGTTGAGCCTAAGGGTCTGTAAGAATAAACTTCTCCCTTCATGGTAATCCTCTCCCTCCTCAACATCTGTGCGCAGATAATGAGTCACTGAGCTGCTATCTAAGGGAACAGTGTTTCACCCAGAAAACAGCCAGGACAGGAACCATGTGCAAGAGCACTGGGTGCCTCAAGAAGGGCACAAAGGGTAGCGTGGCCAGAGTTGCGTCTGCAGGGGTTCACGTGGGACAAGGTGAATCAGAGAGAGAAATGGAAACCTTGTGTCTGCCTTGTAGGCCATCAACAGGAGCTTGGAACGTTTCCTGTATGCTCTAAAATGTACCCAGGGGAAACAAATAAAATGTACCCAGGAATTGGTTGATCTGCTGTGACTCATTAGAGTTGTCTCAGCCATGTTACTTAGTACTGCGGAACTGCTTCCATTCTGCTCTCCCACTATTTCTCATCTGCTCTGATTTTCCCATCTCCACAGCACTCCCTCCTTTCAACCTATATTGCTTAGGGTTTTCATTGTTTTTGTTTTTCAGTCATTGGTGGTTAGGATGAAAGGTGTTCTAGAGCAGGAATGTACTTTCTTGGTATGTGTATGTCCCCATTGTTGATTGCAGTTCTTGTCAGTTGGCACTCAGTAAATACTGAATTGACCAAATAAATATCTGTAAATAGATTTTTAAATCATTATGAGTGGCAAGAGAGAAATCGAAGAGTGATATTGGGGTGGAGGGCTACTTTAAAACTGAGAGATACAGGGAGACCTCCATGACGAGGGAATGGTTGACATGAGTCCATCACCATGGACCACTTGTCTACAGTTTGGGTATGAATGACTCAACACTATATCCTTCACAGCACCTTGCAAAGTGCCCTCCTTAAGCTGTTCTAGGAGACATTTGTAGCGTGAATATAATGTGGAGGCTACTAAATGCTCCCATTGCTAGGACTGCTGGTTGTTGATCTCCTTGCGCCCTGTCTCTGCCCCCCAAAAACTAGCATGTGATTCCATGGGGAGCTACAGTCCCTGGGTGACAGTCATTGTTTGGGATTAGGATATGTGTGTGCTTCTGGTTCCATGAGAGCAAGAGAGATTCTACAAGGAATGGAAGGAAGAGCTGACTGGAGCTGACATCTCTTAAGAGGGTGATTCCCCCCAAGTGACACAGGTTGAACACGAAGCAGACTGATTACAAAATTCCAGGGTCATAAGCCATTGAGTGCATTCCTGGCCAGAGAGGATTTGGGAGTTGGTGAGTTTTTCCACCTACAGAGAACTAAAGATACCATTCCTGGGTTTTGAGGAGAGAGTTCCAGAATTACATTGCTTTCAGCAAAGTTCTGGGGCAAATTGCTCCACAGCCTGAACCAAAAATAATCAAGCTCCTTGGGTTCCTATGGTGTTTGATATTTGTTCTTCCCTAGGCAAGGTACTCCCAAGTTTGTCTTCCCAGGTTCTCTGCTTCCCCCAAGCAAAATAATTGAGCCAGTGCTCTTGACCTGGGAGTGGTGACGATGGCCCACTTCTGACACCCCCATTTTGGGAGCTGAAGGATCAGTGGGGTGGGTGGAAAGTAGCTTCAAGTCTTTTCAGCTGCTCTCCCCTAGTATGGAAATACTTCCTCTCAGCTGGGGTGAAAATGATAGCATACCACTATTCTGTAATCAATCTGCTTCATGTTCAGCCTGAGTCACTTGGGGGGAATCACCCTCTTAAGAGATGTCAGCTCCAGTCAGCTCTTCCTTCCATTCCTTGTAGAATCTCTCTTGTTCTCATGGAACCAGCATGGTGCCCAAGGTGGGTCTCCAACCCAGAGGTGCTGACTGGGTGGAGAAAGAGACCTCTGGGACCACACTGGCCAGGAATTTAACCTTAGCAACAACTAGCTGGGAGCAGGATGAACAACGCAGACCTTCTGCCCCTCCTGGGAAGGTAACTCTCCCACTGGGAGTTGGGAGTGAGGGACCCCTGTGCTCTCATCTGTACCACCGCACAGTAGATTCTCTCTCTCGCTGATGGGAATGTTGAAGGAGAATGAAAGTCTTTCAGTTCAAATACCAAAGACTTCCACTGTTTTTACAAAATTATAGATCATCTTGAATAAATGTTAATTTGTTGTATATCCTTAGGAACATTTCCACAGACATTAAATTTTGTTTGTTTTGTTTGCTTGTTTCATGACCTTCTTCACCAGTTTCACTAGGGAATGAGTCCACATAACTACTCATCTTGTCAAGCTAGACGTCCCTCCTTGCTCTTTTTACATTTTTTGATTTTTAAACAATTTTAGATTTAGTGTAACGTGGCAAATATAGAGTTCCCATGTAACTTCCACACACTTTCAACTCATGTTACTATTTCACAGATATGTTTACATTCGTCAAAGCAAAGAAATTAACATTGATACAATACTGTTTACCTTACAAACGATATGGATTTTACTAAATTTTTTCCCCACTATCGTCCTTGTGTTGCAGGATCCCATTCCAGGCCATCAAGTTGCATTTAATCATTTTATCTGTTTAGTTTTCTCTCATCTCTAACAGTTGTTCTGTTATCCTTGTTTTTCATGATCCAAACACTTTTGATGAGGATTCATTAGGTATCTTAAACAATGTTCATCAATTTGCATTTATCTTATCTTTTTTTTTTTTTTTTTTTTTTTTGTGATGAGTGAAGTTGGGGGTTTTGGGAAAGGATATCCCAGAACAGTTTTGTTGCCGTGTGCTCGTACCTGGTGTGAACATGACATTACTAACGATGTTAACCTCCATCAGGCGGTAAGGGTGGTGTCTGCCAGTTTCCTCTGCTGTCGAGTTACCATTTTTCTCTTTGCATACTCAGTCACCAATCCAGCCAACTCGAGGGAGTCAAGCTCCATCACCTGAAATAAAGTGTCTGTGTATCACTTGGAATTCTTTAGGAAGATTTCATTTCTCTCCCTGTATTCATTTACATGAGAGCACTACTAATTATTTTTTTTTAAGTGAATAAATACAAGTACTTACAAGAAATATGCGTGTTGTGATTCCCATTCATACACCCGGGGAGAAAAGAAAGCGAGGCCTACTCCTTCGTGATGTGTTTAGTAACTGCGACAGGGCAGCAGGGTCAAACGCGCACCGTTTCCACTTCTGTAGATGTGCGTGCGCTCGATGCGTTGGAAGCTGCATTTCATTCTCCCACCTTTGCCTGAGAGGAGTTGGGGGGGGACCCCAAAGAAGTAACCGACGGTGACCTCTAAGACATCTGTGATACGGTCTTGAAGGGTTGTTGGAACCGCTAACGTGACTGTCGGTTTCTCGTCTGCACCTCCTCAGCGCCAGGCTGGCTCCGGCTTCGCCCGGGTCCGTTCCCGTCTCAGCCCTCGCGGAGACTCGAGGCGGCGGCGGCGGCCGACCACTCCCGCACTCCGCGTCCGCACACGACCCCTCCGCCGGCGCTCAGACGCAGGGCGAGGTGCCGCGTGGGACAGACACTCCACAGCGCCGGGCTTCAGCCTGGGGTCACGGGCGGCCTCCCCAGCTCCGGGGCTCGCACGCCGCTCCTCCGGCTCCCGGGCCCGATCCGCGCATCAAGGCGCCGCAGCGCGTAGCGCTGGCCCACAGGAGGCCCCTCAGAGGGGGCCGCGTCGGAGGGGGCTTCCGGCGTCCTGGCCCCGGCGGTGCCGTCACCGCTGGAGCACCGTCTTCCGTCCAGGGGCATCTCCGGGAGGTGAGGCGCTCGGGGGACGTCACCAGCCGACCCAAAGTCCTGGTGACCACGCGTCTTGATCGCGGGCGGAGGTCCCCGCCGCCGAGCCTCGCCTTCCCCGGGCGGGACAGGGACGGCCTCGCCCCCGCCCCTAGATCCCACTCTGAGAAGCGGGTCTGAGGCGACTCTTTCGGAGAAGACACGCTCGGAAACTGCCCCACCGCGACAGTCAGCAAAGGAAAAAACCACATTACCCAGAAGGCTGTGCTCCGCGTGTCGCGCGGGCGCTGGGCCAATGACTGCCCAGGACAGGGGCATTTCTTGCGGTCCGCTCCGGCGGGGCGGGGCTCCCGGTCCCATGAGGAGGGCGTCATCCGCCTGCGCCGGGCTGGTCTTACTCGGGCTGTGGGGTTTTGAACAGGGACTTGGAAAGGGAGGGCACCTTTCCGAGGCCGGAGCGGAGACGGTGGTGTGGACCGTAGGTCCCTCCTCATGTCTTTGTGTGAGCCTGACACCCGTCCCTCGTCCTCCGTAACGGGGTGTCACGTGAGCGCCTGCGGGACGCGGGGCGCGCTCTCCGCAGCCCTGGCGCGACGCTGAGGGCCTGGGGTGCGTTTCACACTGGGGAAACTGAGGCTCGGAGTGCGACAGTCAGCCGAGGTCACCCCACTCTGGGCAGCGAAAAGGTGGCAGCCCCTCGGCCGCTTCCCCCGGGGCCCTGCTCTGCACAGGGTCCCATGATGGCGGCGGCGTGGACGGACCCCGTGTGGGTGAGTGGACGATGCCCTTAGCATTGCTGCCCCTCTGCTGCGGCGGCTCCGGGGCGCCTGCAGGCCAAGGATGCCCTTCGGTTTCATTTTCTCCTTGTCGTTTGTTGACAGGAAGTGGCTGGCGTGTCCCTTGATCCGTAGTGCTGCAGCTGTGGCGGATCTCGGGCGGTGCTCAGTCTAGGCACGAAGGATGAGAAGTGCTGGCTTCCAAGGGCTCCCTCGCTTACTAATCCCGCCCTCTGCCATGACCTGCAGGGGCCTACCCGTGCCCCCGCCAACCTCCTCTGGCCTTTCGGGCTGTACCAGCCTGACCATGCTAGGTTCTCCTTCACCACCAGCCTTTGTCCCTGCACTGGCCTTTGCCTGGGATACTCCCCCGGTGACGTTTCAGGGCCTCCCTCTCACATCCTCTGGCCTCTGCTCAGATGTCACTCGCTTGGAGAGAATGTTCATAGCAGTTCAGCCGAAATGGGCCCTTCCCTGCTTGCCCATCATCCGGCATTGTTGTGTAGGGAGCCTGGCAAAATTAAACAAGTGACTGTGGTTGAATTTGTCTAGGATGTGGTGGGAGCAAAGCGAGACCAGTAACAGGAGATGCGCGATAGCTGACCTCCACTCGTTCTTGCTGTGGGCTGACAGGCATAACCTATCACCTCTTAATCCTCGGCTCCTCTGAGTTGAGTTGTGTTGTTATCTCTGTTTTGCACAAGAACATCTTGAGGCTCAGAGGTTTACTGCTCCAACTCACTGCAGCTCTTAAGTAGCAGAATCAGCCAGTGTGTTGACCACCCCAGCCTGCATTTTTACTCTTTTCTCTACAAAGAGCAGACAGGGATACTTGGAGGTGACACCTGAAGTCAACTTTGTAAGCCAAGCAGGCTTCCATACAGGCCTTGGGCATGACGTGGGGATATGGCATTTTAGCAAGTGGAAATGTGGGGACAAAAAGGGTAGATTGGTTGTTTAAGGCGTCCCCAGGGTACCGGTGTGATTTCCATGGCTCCTCTACCCCCGTTGCTGAGACATAACCCTGGGAGGGCCAGACTGTGCGTCATGTGCTGGATGTTCCATCATACTCTTACCCGTGACAGACACTGTGACAAATCAAAGGCTCTTCTCATGGCCAAAGCCCGCATTGTCCTCAGTAACTTCTATTTTCTGGGCCTGAAGTATTTTCTCCTCAGCAATATGTGCTGTTGAGACTCAGGTGGTTGGGGTGGGGGGTTTAAGTTCCTTCACAGTTGCCAAAGCCAGAGGGTGAGGGGAAGACTCATGTGGGAAAAAGAAACAGTGACTCATTGTGGATTCTCCTTGGTAGTCTCTGAGGAGCAGAAGGCAGTGGGACCCGATCCAGGCCCTCCCACTTCCCAAGCAGGTGCCACCACCTCAGGTGATGGTCCTGTGAGGTGGGTGACGATGAGTTGCGCCTCTGCCCGTGTCTGCAGAATTATGTTCAATGATGGCTGAAACGAATGTGGCTGGGAAATTTATATGAAGTTCCTCACATCTTCATTGACTCCTTTACTAATGGAGGAGTGTCAGGATTATGCCATTAGACCCTAGACCAGAGGGACCAGAGGGACCTCAGTTCAGAGCCTGCCTCTCCTCATACCACATGTGAACTGTGGATAAACTACTGAAGCCCCCTGGACCTCAGGGCCCTGACTGGCAGGAACGTGGTAATGATACTGACTTCACAGGCTGTGGCTAGTCACCCCAGTGTTTCTTTTACAAAGATTTTTTTCTTTAATTCTCATACTCTTACTGCTGGGTGAGATTTACTGTATTAATCCAGAAATTGAGGCTCAGAGAAATGACGTGAGGCTCCTAAGTGCGCATGCAGGCAAGTGTTGATTCTAAGACGTGGGTTTCAAACCTCAGGATTATGGCTTCAGAGCTGGGGACGTTCACATTAGCAGGACAGGAAGCGCATCGGCACGAGTCAGGTGTGCAGTGAAGATCGGTGAGTCTGGGCTGCTCTTGCTGTAATTGTTATTGGTGCTGTTTTCGTTATCTTTTTTACTCTCTCCCATCCCTGTGGCGTCTTAAAGCCCTTACCACTCTGTGCCTCACAGTCCACATGGGAAGGTCCCGACCTCACGCCGTTCTCCACTGGCTCCCACGCAGGAGGTGCTGTCCCTCATGCTGCTGTAATCAGGGCAAAACAGCATCTCTGCCTCCTTGAGTTCCGCACAGAGCTCAGCCCTCAGGGGGTGTTTGGTCACTCTGATCCCTTCCCATCGAGAGAAATGGGCTGTGATTCCAATCAGCAGCCCCAGCAGCCCCAAGACCAACACACTGCCTCTGTTTGACTTTTCAGATGCCTGTGACCTTCGATGATGTGGCGGTGACTTTTACCCGGGAGGAGTGGAGACAGCTGGACCCGGCCCAGAGGACCCTGTACCAGGAAGTGATGCTGGAGACGTGTGGGCTCCTGGTCTCTCTGGGTAAGGCCTCCCTAACTCTGTGGTGTGGGAGACCTGTCACCTCCTTCACTCTGCTCTCTGGCTGCAGCCCTGCTGCTTGAGAAGGTCTCTATAGCCCTCCCGTCCTCTCCATTTCAGTCATTTTCTAGACTCCTCTCTTCCTGCCTGCTCTCCTATGTCTCAGGGAGGGTTAAGCAAGGAACATAGTTTACTTTTGGTCACAGCCAAAGGAGAAGAAATGGGGTTTTCTCACAAAGCCTAAAGGCAGGGATTCCATCTGGGCCCCTTGAGGGACTGATACAGGAACTTAGAGAAACACAATTAATCCCTGCTTTGGGGGCTTTTGCCCTGGCTTCTCTCTGTGGGTCTGCTTGTGTTTTTGTCTTTTTACAGTGACTTTTTCTGCCACGGCTATTTCGTAGCAGGAAGTGGCTGCCCAGTCCTTGCCATCAGAGGCCCCTTGTTCCTGTCTCTACTCCTTTTTATATGCCGATACTGTTTCTTTTCACTCCGTTAATTCTCCCAACATGCCATCCTTGGCAAATAAGGAAAATAGGGCCACTGCAGCAAGTCCCTCATAAAGCTTAATCTCTTCACTTTAAAAGACACATCTTCATTGTGAAAAGCTCTCCTCTGCATTTTTTGGTGGTTTCTTTTGTGAAATGTTGGCCAGAATAGATGATTTAATTTATATTTTTAAGATTTTATTTATCTGACACAGAGAGAGAAAGACAGTGAGAGAAGGAGGACATGCAGGGGGAGTGGAAGGAGGAGAAGCAGGCTTCCCACTGAGCAGGAAGAGGGAGAAGCAGGCTCCCGGCTGAGCATTGAGCTCCATGCGGGGCTCAATCCCAGGACCCTGGGATCATGACCTGAGCTGAAGGCAGATGCTTAACCATTTGAGCCATCCAGGCACCCTCTCTGTTCTATTTCTGATATTAGTAATTTGTGTCTTTTCTTATTTTTTCTTTGTTAGCCTGGCTAGAAGGTTATCAATTTTATTGATCTTTTTAGAGAGCCAAATTTTGGTTTTGTTGATTTTTTCTATTTTCTGTTTTCAATTTCATTGATTCCTGCTCTAATTCTTATTTCTTTTGTAGTGTTTATTTTGCATTTAATTTACTCTTCTAGTTGCCTAAGGTGGAAATTTATATAACTGACTTCAGATCTTTCTTTTAAAAAAATATGTATCCTACTATAAATTTCCTGCAAAGCATTGCTTTGCTCCATCCCACAAATTTCGATAAGTTTTATTTTTGGTTTTTTAGTTAGTTTAAAGATTATTTATTTATTCATTTTTAGTAACCTGTACACCCAGCGTGAGACTCAAACTCATGACCCCAGAATTAAGAGTCACATGCTCTTCCAACTGAGCTAGACAGGTGCCCCATATTTTTGTTTTCATTTAGTTCAAAATATTTTTTACTTTCTTGAGATTGCTTCTTAGACCTGTATGTTATTTAAAAGTATGTTGTTTAGTCTTTACCTATTTGGTGATTTTCCAGTTATATTTCTGTTATTAATTTCTAGGTAATTACTCTATGGTCTGAGGGCAGACATTTTATGGTTTCTATTCTTTTTTTTTCCTTTCAATCATTAATGTTTAATTTCAAATCATGGGTTTGCTCATTTCTATTTAAGTTTTGTTTTTTGCCTCCTGATTTTTCCCCTGTTTTTTTTAATGATTTCTGTTCCTTTTAAAATTTATTAAAGTGTGTTTTTATGGCCCAGAATATAATCTATCATGGGAATGTTCCATGTGAGTTTGAGAAGAATGTGTATCTGTTTTTGGATATAGTCTGCAGATGTCAGTTATAGCCAGTTAATTGATGGTATTGTTGAGTTCACCTATGTCATTACTAGCTTTCTGCCTTTCGGATCTGTACATTGCTCCTAGAGGAATAGTGTGATCTCCAACTTTGATGGTGGATTCATCTATTTCTTCTTGTCATACTATCAATTTTTGCCTCGTGTAGTTTGACAGTGTTGCCAGACACATATGGATTAAGGATTTTTCTGTCTTCTTTGCAAATTAACCTATTTATCATTATGTAATGCCTTCTTTATCCCTGGTAACTTTCCTTGCTTTGAAGTCTTTTCTGTCTGAAATTAACATAGATATGCTTGCTTTCTTTTGATTAGTATTAGCATATTTTATTAACATATTAGTGTATTTTTCTTTTTTTTTTTTAAGATTTTATTTATTATTTATTTGACAGGCAGAGATCACAAGTAGGCAGAGAGGCAGGCAGAGAGAGAGAGGAGGAAGCAGGCTCCCTGCTGAGCAGAGAGCCCGATGCAGGGCTTGATCCCAGAACCCTGGGTTCATGACCTGAGCTAAAGGCAGAGGCTTTAACCCGCTGAGCCACCCAGGTGCCCCTTAGTGTATTTTTCTACATTCATTTATTTTCAACACGTTTGTGTCTTTATATTTACAGTGGGTTTCTTATAGACAATCTATAGTTGGGTTTTGTTTTGTTTTTGTCTTTGTTTTTAAGATTTATTCATTTATTGGAGTGGCTGGGTGGCTCAGTTGTTAAGCGTCTGCCTTCAGCTCAGGTCATGATCCCAGGGTCCTGAGATCAAGCCCCTCATTGGGCTCCCTGCTCTTTGGGAAGTCTCATTCTCCCACTCCCACTCCACCTGTTTCTGTTTCCTCTCTGTTGTCTCTTTCTCTGTCAAATAAATAAAATCTTTAAAAAAAAGAGAAAGATTTATTCATTTTTTTTAGAGAGAGGGAAAGCACAGTGGGAGGGGCAGAGGGAGAAGGAGAGAGAACTTCAAGCAGAGTCTGCACTGAGCACGTGGAACCTGACACGGCTCAGTCTCACGCCCCTGAGATCACGACCTGAGCTGAAACCAACAGTCAGACACTTAACTGTGCCACCCAGGCACTCCGGGGTCTTGTTTTTTGATCCACTCTGACAATCTGTGTTATAATGGAGCATTTAGAAAAACATTGATGTTCTAAGTGATGTTGATGTAAAGCGATTAATATTTACCATGTTTGTCACTGTTCCTATTTATTGTCCTTGTTCCTGTTTTTGTCTTCCAGTTTTCCTGTCTGGTATAAACCCTTCTCTTTACTCAGAGTACCCAGCCCCTCTGCCTACCTCAGACTGTCGATAATCAGGGATGCCATTTGTGAAACGGTGGAAACCAGGGTTTTTTAACCTACCAGGTGGGGTGCCATCACTTGGGGAGTGTTTACAATCAGATGGCTAGGCTTCACCCAAAGGTTTTGTGTAAATTAGTCCACGGTGGCATTCAGGCTTACCAGGTATGGCTGAGGCACAGGGAAGCTGAGGCCCCTGACTGGGTTAATTAGGAAGCGCCTTCAGGAGATAGGTCCGAACAGTGCTGGGATTCTACAGGCTGGAGATCAAAGGGATTTGGTGCTGTCGCTGGAGCCAGCACTGATGTCTGCAGTCTTTGGGGCCCCATAATGATGTTTTATGCGTTGGTTTCCAGGTCATACTTTGTTTGGATGGATGCAAGCAGCTTCATTCTGAGGCCTTCTCCAAATTCTGAAGTCCCCGTCTAGATTGAGGGTTTCTTTCCTCTCACCACAATTTCCACAACATTTTTCTGTCTCTTTGAACAGGCTGCCCTTTGCCCAAACCAGAGCTGATCTGCGCCTTGGATCACAGCCCAGAGTTACGGACATTGAAGAGAGGCCTCTCCCCTAACTCCTGCCCAGGTGGGTGCCAGCAGCGGGCCCGGTCAGGGTCACAGCAGCTTGCAGACAGCACAGTGATTACTGCCTCTGGAATCTGTGGAAGTTTTATTATTGTGGCCTCTCTAGAGGCTTAGGATCCATGAGCCTTTTAACCTGTGGTCCTTCTGCCCACCCCGTCCAGCCCTATCACAATCCCCAGCGCTCCTGTGGAGGTGTGGGGCCTGTTAGATTGTAAGTTCGGGCTCTCAGCCCTAGCTACTTGGGACCCACGGCAGCCTTGTGGTCCTGGAGAGGGTGCATGGTCTCACTGTGCCTTTATACATAAGCTCAGCCAGTGTAAATAGAGCGGCTCTAACAGGCATATTCCAGAATCTTGGTGGCTCAGCACATGAAAGTCCTTTTGTCACCCAGCGACTGTGGAGTCAGCGTGGAGCTGTGCACCACGCAGTTATTCAGGGATTCTGGTACCTCCTGCCATCACGAGACTTGCACGTTGTTCTGGCATCTTCCAGCTGGCAGAGGGGAAACGGGAGAAGAAAGGAAGGTGTCATACCCACATCCGGTCACACTGTTTCTCCTCACATTCCACCAACAAGACATCTGGCCCCACTTAAGCACCTGGGGCTGGAAAATGAGGCTGAGCTGTGTGTCCAAGGAGAGAACAAATGGTTCGGTGGGTGTCGTCTGCTGCACTCAGTCTCTTCCTGAGTCAGTGGGTTGTCTGAGGACGCACCAGATTGTGCATGAAACTGGCTCACGCTGGCCCTGACCCACAGTGAGCGAATGGCTCAGGAAAAGTGAGCTGTTGGTGTTATTCACGTCATAATATTAACCCTCATGAGTAACGATAGTACCTCAGACTTCCTTCTGCGTCACCAGGAAACAAGCTCTACCCTGCATTCCACCCTTTTTTGCCTTCTCCATCCACCCATCCTCCCGGTGCCAGTCAGACACTCAGACACTCCCTCGCTCCAAGTCCTCGCACCCCTCCTGTCTGCTTAACCTTCCAGCTAATGTTTGGCTTCCATTCTGCAGACCTGGGCTGCTGAGGCCCTGGGGATGTCTGGTGTGGTGACTGGCGCCTCCGCAGAGCCGGGCACTCTCGCCTCTGGTGGCCCCTTGGGCTTTCATCCCGAGTATGTGTCTGTTCGGCCCCTTGGAAGGTGTTCCTAGTCTTCACCCTCATCACCAGTCTCACATCTGTGAGTGTGGAAAAGACAGTTCGTGCCCAACATGCCTAAGAGGGAGCTCGGGATTCTGCTGCTCCTCCCGCCTCCCACGCACGTCAGAAGGCCGTCTGTGACTGCAGATAACTCCTCAGCACCTCGCCGCCACCAGCCCCTACCAGCCTCCCACGAATGACTCCCCTCCCCCTCTCCTCCCCGAGACCCATCCTGATACTCCCACGTCCAGGTTTTCAACTTTTGCCTGGGTGAGAGCTGGTCTCCCCGCATCTCCTGTGTGCCTCTCATCCGCCTCGTCTTCCCCACTGGTTCCCCCAGCCATGGATGGCTCATTCCAGACCTTCACCACACCCCTCGGCCACTGATGTCTTCGCATATTTTCATGTAGAAAATAGTCTGTGTTCTTGCGTTGCTTGATCGCCAACCGTTACACATTGATCTGAATCTCTCCTGTGTGTGACTTCCCTTCCCAGAGGAGGCCTTGCCCCCGACCACGGCAAAGCACCACACTAGAGGCCAGATCACACCTTGTCAGGGAATTGGCTTCTTCGCTGCTTTTCTGCCTCTTCTGTAACTTTACCCGTTCTCGGCTCAGCAGAAAAATACGCTTGGTTGTGTCACAGAAGAGGAAAGTAAATGAAAAAGGCCTATAACTCTCCAGTGTCTTCACACTGGTATCAATTCTGTTTCCCCGTATAACCCATCTTCTTGGAAGTTGGAAGTTGTCTCACTCTTTTTTTTTTTTTTTTTTTTAGATTTTATTTTTTACTTATTTATTTTTAGATTTTATTTATTTATTTTTCAGAAAGAGAGAGAGAACAAGCAGGGAGATTGGCAGGCAGAGGGAGAAGCAGGCTCCTCTCTGAACGAGGAACCCAATGTGGGACTCGATCCCAGGACCTTGGGATCATGACCTGAGCCAAAGGCGGGCGTTCAACTGACTGAGGCACCCAGGTGTCCCAATATTTTATTTATTTATTTGAGAGAGAGAGAAAGAGCATGAGCAGGGGGAAAGGGAGAAGCAGATTCCCCACTGAACAAGGATCCTGACATAGAGCCCGATCCTGGGACTCCAGGATCGTGACCTGAGCCAAAGGTAGACGCTTAACAACTGAGCCACCCAGGCGCCCCAAGTTGCCTCATTCTTGCAAGAGATGTCTACACTTGTGGTCTCTTGTACAAAAATCTTAAGAGGTCCGCTTGATGAATCATTGTGTGTATAGACTCACATAACCACCACCTGTGTTAATATTTAGTTTCTACCGTGGTCTGTGGCTTTGCTTTCTGTGGTTTCAGTTACCTGCGGTCAGTTATGGTCCAGAAGCAGAGGATTGTTCTTCTGATGTGTCATTAGAAGGACACCAGTAGCCTAATACTGTGTCACATGCCTGTGTCATTCACCTCACTTCATCTCATCGTATAGGCATTTTATCATCTCACAGCATCACAAGAAGGGAGAGTGCCGTATAATAAAATATTTTGAGTGAGAGACCATGTTCATGTAACTTTTATTACAGTATTTGTTTTAATTGTTCTATTTTATTATTACTTACTTTTGTTAATTTCTTATGTGCCAAATTTATAAATTAAACTTTATTATAAGTGTATTTATACATTTTGTATATATATATATATAAAATATATATATATATAAAATATTATATATAGGGTTGGTACTACCCACAAATTCAGGGACCCACTGGGGTCTTGAAACAAATCCCCCACAGATAAGGGAACTACTGTACAACATTTCCAGCACCTCGTCAGGGTCTCATGCCTTCAGTAGCCCCTTCCGCTAGGTAATCCCTTTTGAGACCATCAGCATGAATTTGTGTTGACTTGGAGCCCCACTGCATGGTGTCTGTGTGTCCCTCTCCTCTTGACCTTCGTTACGTCTACGCGAGTCTTTTCCTCCTCCAACGCGTACAGTTGGAGTTTGTTCACTCTCGGTCGAGTAGGACGTCTCATTGTGTGAAAAACTGCCAATCGTTCATCCATTCCCCTCTTGGTGGGCATTCCTCTTGTTTTCAACTTAGTGCTGCTGAGAATATTCTTGTTATGTGTCTTGGTGTAGATAAGCACTAATTTCTGTTAGGAACAGATTCCGGTATGTTTCTAGTTCAGGTTGGCTTTATTGGAAAATGCCAGGCAGTGCTGGAGAGGCCGAACCCTTTCACATTCCCACCATTCACCTGTGAAAGTGGTGACATCGTTCTCTTTGTGCTTTGAGGCCCTGTGAGGGGGTTGCTCTGTGCCACAGCACTGAAAATGTTCTTTATACAGTCACCGCTTTGCTCCTAATTTTCAAATACAGCAGCCAGCCATAGTAATGATGGGTAATGGCCCACAATTTCCCGAACAATCCCCCAGGGGCTAGCAGTGTGCTGACCACTTTACAGGCATTTTCTCATTTAACCTTCAGGACAGTCTGTGAGGCAGAAACTGAGAGACGCTCAGTTTTTCAGACGAGGGATTTGAGATGGGAACAGCTAAGTAATTTGTCCAATATCAGCTCGCTTGGTACAGGTAGGATTCGCACCAAGCGTTCAGCCAATGCTCTGAATCTCTGTGCTTGTGAATTCATAATTCAGCAGGCTTCTAGATTGTGTCCTGAGCATCTGATCCTCCTGCGGTCTCCGCCCCTAATCTCCCAAGACCTCCCTTCTCTTCTTCTGGTGACTTTAATGTTGGCTCGGCAGGCATCTCATGGACCACTGTTTCTACTCTTCAGTACTCTTCCGGGTCAGTCCACGCATTCTGACACTGCCAGTTTATATGCTCGCTAATTAGGTCCCAGATGCATGTTATTTGACTAACCCATAATAAAAATTTAGAGCTGACATGTAGCCATGTTTTGCGCAGCATCTGGTATCCTACTGAACGTGGTTCATGTATGAACGTGGCAAATGCAGGATTTCACTTCATCCTCACAGAGTCCTACAGCACAGTCTTTATTTCTGGCTTTACTTTTTAGGAGACAAAGGGAGAGCTTACGAAATGTGAGTGCCTTGCCAGGTGCTACGGAGCTCATACTGAGTTTTTGTGGGACTTGGGCCTAGGGTTTCTGTGGTTGGAGACCATGATCTTAACCATAACATTGCTGTGACCTCTAATCCTTGCTTCGTGGACCTCAGGTACAAATTTTGATTTGTACCAAGCCAAACCTTGGCTGATGACACATTGTCATCACTGATTCACGAATGACCATGATTAATTAATGTATTATCTAAGTTGTCTGCTCATTCATTTCTTTTTGAAAATAATACAGTTAACATCACAGACAAGAATGAGTACAGTGCTCATGCCAACAGTCTGGTCAGCCTGGACTGCTGTAACGAGAATGCCACAGGCTGGAGGATGAAACAACGTTTATTTCCCACGGTTCTGGAGGCCAGAAGTTTAAGGTCTGGTGTCTGGTGAGGGCCCTCTTCCTGGTTTGCAGAAAAGAGTCTCCTCTTCCCTTCTCACTTGGCGCTGAGAAGACGCAAAAGCTCTTGTGTTTCTGCTTGTTAGGATACCAGTCCCGTGTCAGGGGCTGCACTCTTACCAGCCCCATCCTCTGGTACCCTGCAGGTTCCCTGAGTCTTGGAAGACTCAGCCTTTGTTCATTCCATCAGCTAAGGCTGAAATGGCTTTCCTGTTTTCTCTAAATGGCAATTTCTCACATTCCTCGTCTGGAAACCCTCACCGGCCTCTTCCCAGCTGCCGTGGAGGCTGCGTTGGGTGCCCCTTTGCTGGCCTCTTGGAGCATCTGGAGCATTCTTGCTTTGAGCAAACCCAGCACACACTGTGTCATTACTCTGTGTTCTTGTCCCTAGTTGCCAGACACTCTGTCCCCCATCTCTTCTCTCCCTCTGGGTTTCTGCTCAAAGGTTTCAAGAATTCAAGGTCTGAAAAGAAATTGCAAACTGGATTTTAGAGATTTGAAAACATGGCAGGCACAGAGCCATTGTTTTCATCTTTATTCCCACTGAAATGGCGATTTTGTTTTTCTGTGTTGCCATCTCTAGTAAGCCCGTCTATATATTGTATTCCCTTCAGGTGACACCACAAAACCTGAGACCCCAGAGCTTTCCCTTTCTCACCTTGCCTTGTCTGAGGAAGTCTCACCACAGGAACAACAGGCTCAGCAGGCTCTGGGGGGCTCCCAGTTGGGGCAAGGCATGAGTCAGGATTGGCCATCGGAAATGCTGGAAGGCCAGTTGAAACCAGGGATAGACCCCCAAACGAAGAAGCTCCTTGGGAACATGAAGCCTAAACATGATGGTTTAGGGACAGATGATGGTCTACACTCAAGGACTGTACAGCAGCCGATCCCTGCAGGACATGTTCTCCACGGTTATGACTCACAGGGACTACTGAAAGATCCCTTGATTCACGAAGGGAAACGTCCCTATCAGTGTGAGGAACGACAAAAAGTGTTTACCAAGAATTGCTTTCTTGTGCGACGTGAGCAGATTTCCACTGGAGCAAAACCCTATGAATGCATCGAGTGTGGGAAGACTTTTAGCAAGAGCACACACCTCCTGCAGCACCGCATGATCCACACGGGGGAGCGGCCCTACGAGTGCATGGAGTGCAGGAAGGCCTTCAACCGCAGGTCACACCTCACGAGGCACCAGCGGATTCACACTGGAGAGAAGCCTTATAAGTGCAGTGAATGTGGGAAGGCCTTCACCCACCGCTCCAATCTAGTCTTGCATAACAGGAGCCACACTGGAGAAAAGCCCTTTGTGTGCAAAGAATGTGGGAAAGCCTTCCGTGATAACACAGGTTTCCTTCGGCACTACATCATCCACACGGGAGAGAAGCCCTTTGAGTGCATGGAGTGCGGGAAGGCCTTCAACCGCAGGTCACACCTCACGTGGCACCAGCAGATTCACACCGGAGTGAGACCCTTTGAATGCAATGAATGTGGGAAAGCCTTTTGCGACAGCACGGACCTCATTCAGCACTACGTCATCCACACAGGAGAGAAGCCATACAAGTGCCTCGAGTGTGGGAAGGCCTTCTACCGCCGGTCACACCTCAAGCAGCACCAGCGGAGTCACACTGGGGAGAAGCCCTATGTGTGCGGTGAGTGTGGAAAGGCCTTCACCCACTGCTCTACTTTCATCTTGCACAAAAAGGCCCACACTGGAGAAAAACCCTACGAGTGCAAGGAATGTGGGAAAGCCTTTAGCAATCGATCAGACCTCATCCGACACTTCAGCATCCACACTGAGGAGAAACCCTATGAGTGCATGGAGTGCGGGAAGGCCTTCAACCGTCGGTCATACCTCATGAGACACCAGCGGATTCACAGTGGAGAGAAGCCCTATGAATGCGTGGAGTGTGGTAAAGCCTTTTGCCAGAGGGCAAACCTCATTCGACATGCTATCATCCACACTGGGGAGAAGCCCTATGAGTGCAACGAGTGTGGAAAGGCCTTTACGTACTGCTACACTTTTATCTTGCATAAAAGGGCTCACATTGGAGAAAAACCTTTTGAGTGTAAAGAATGTGGGAGAGCCTTCAGCACTAAGAAAGACCTCATTCGACACATCAGCATCCATGCTGGAGAGAAGCCCTATGAGTGCACGGAGTGCGGGAAGGCCTTCAACCGCCGGTCAGGGCTCACGAGGCACCAGCGGATTCACAGTGGAGAGAAGCCCTATGAATGCATGGAGTGTGGGAAATCCTTCTGCTGGAGCACCAACCTCATCCGACACTCCGTTATCCACACTGGAGAGAAGCCCTATGAGTGCAGTGAGTGTGGGAAAGCCTTCAGTCGCAGCTCGTCCCTCACTCAGCATCAGAGGATTCATACTGGGAGAAACCCTGTCCGTGTAACCGAAGTGGGAAGACCCTTCACGAGCGGGCAGTCCTTAGTCAACCACCAAGAGCTCCTGTTGGGGAAAGACTTCTTGAATGTAACCACTGAGGAAGCTTCTTACTCAGAATCTGATCGTTCATACCAAAGAGAACCCCCTCAGTTTCCTTCCCGATGAGAAACCCTCTGTTGCAGGACATCATTTGTCATCTGAGGAGTCAGACTGGAAACTTACCCCATCTGGACCCTTATCCTGCATCTGAGAATTCATCCAGGAGTGTGATCCAATCATTCTCATGCACTTAGTGTAACCATCAGCCACATCTTTCTCCTCAGTTTACACTGAAAAATTATCTCAGGGATATTTAAACAAAGGAGGAAAAGACATAAAAGAGAAAGAAATACAAGCGTGGCTTCTTTCAGACTTCTGTTACAAGCCTATGGCAGTTTGTTTTTCCTTATCTCATTTGGGAAAGGGGAGGATGTTGTTTCAGAGTTCACAGAGCCTTGTCGCCTCTTTCTTATGTATGTTTCCACTGCTGTCCATTGTCAGGACAGTTGAACATTTAAGGTGTGTCTGAAAACGTTTATTGAAAGCCTTTGTTCTGCAGCTTTGTCTCCACCCTTGAGTAGCATAAGTCTTAATGAGAAATATAAAGGCTTGAGTTATGAAATGTTATATTGTAGGAGATTAAAATGACATATGAATGGGCCCACTGTACCACATTCTTAAGACTTGGATTTAAAAAAACACACACACACAAAATTTTTTTCATGTGTATTTAACAACCCACTACTTGTACTTGCTCTTGATCTACTTGTTTATTGTTTTTTGTTTGTGTGATGAAGATGGCAGTGTAGCTATGTGACCTTCCCTGGTGAACCTGAATTCTTCCCTCTGCGGTTCCTAAGCTTCTCCAGTCCTCCTCAGAGAGACTCTTCCCAAGTCCACATCAGTTGTTTTCTAGGGATTGAATTAGAGCTAAAACAAAATAAAACACATGGCTAAATTAGCTTAAAAAAACAAACATACAAACAAACAAACTCAGAAAAGCACAGAGAAGGAATCTCATTTTTACTCTTAAAAAAGATTGTGTGAAGATTTGCTATTGAGGAAATTGACTAGAATTTTAACAGACAAAATTAGTATGTGCACATGCAGTTATCTGTAGAGTTTCACAGTTGTTACTATGGCCTTAGTCCTGGTATACTAAGTTAGGACTAGTACCTTTTATCAGGGTCTTTTGGAATTCCTTTGGTATTTTTTGTTGTTTTTTTTTGTTGTTGTTTATTTATTTATTTTTTTGAGCTACATATGATACTATTATCTCTCATTAAGAAATATGCTGTGAATGGGGCGCCTGAGTGGCTCAGTTGGTTACATGGCTGCCTTCGGCTCAGGTCATGATCTCGGGGTCGCGGGATTGAGCCCGACATCAGGCTCCTTGCTCAGCGGGGAGCCTGCTTCTCCCTCTCCCTCTGCCTGCTGCTCTGCCTACTTGTGTTCTCTCTCCCTCTTTCTAACAAATAAATAAAATCTTTTAAAAAAAGAAATATGCTGTGGAGAAAGATGTAAAAATGAACATGCATTCACACTGAACGCTCCTCAGGGCCCTTTCAGTCACCACTTGTGTACTTTTGTATTGTCATCATAGGCCAAGCCATTTTTGTTACATTGATTCATGGCATTATTATGAAGGAGCCTCTTAATCCTTTTTATGTCATATGTAAGAAGTCTTAAGCAAGCTCTCTGTCCTGAATTTTTCTCTCAGAAGTTTTATAGTTTTACCTTTTACATTTAAATCTCTCATGCATGTTGAGTTCATTTTTGTATTACCATGTGAGGTTTAGGCTGAGTTTCTTTCTTGTATTTGCGCTTAAGAATGTTCAGTTGGCCAGCACCATTAGCTGAAAAGTAGACTACAATATTATGTCTCCATTGAATATTTACTCCTTAGTCAGAAGTCAGTTGGGCATGTTTATGTTGATCTGTTTCCGAGTTCTCTATATTATCCCATTGATGTGCATGTCTAACCCTCTGCCAGTACTGCAATGTCTTACTGTAGCTTTCAGTAAATCTTAAAATTGGGTAAAGTGATGACTTCCCCTATATTTTAAAAATTGATTTAGCTTTCCATATTAATTTTTCCTTTGGCTTTCTATATACACGTTATCATGATTTTCTTTATTTATAAAACATCTTGATGGAATTTTGACAGACATCACATTAGTCTATGGACCGTCTTGGTGAGATTTGGCATCTTTATTATGTTGACTCTTTCAGTCCATTAACATGATATGTCTCTTCATTTATTTAGATCTTTTTGTATTTAGTGTTTTATAATTTTCCACTGATCATTTTTGTTAGATTTTTATGTAAGTACTTTTTGGGGGCATCTTTATGTATCATACTGAGTTTTAATGTCAGTTTGCACATTAACGTTACTGTTACAGAGAAATAGTGGTTAGTTTTTTTTTTGTTTGTTTGTTTTTTAATATTTATTTATTTGACAGAGACAGAGATCACAAGTAGGCAGAGAGGCAGGCAGAGAGAGAGGAGGAAGCAGGGAGCCCGATGCGGGGCTCAATCCCAGGACCCTGGGATCATGACCTGAGCTGAAGGCAGAGGCTTTAACCCACTGAGCCACCCAGGCGCCCCTCTACTCTTTATTAATCTTAGATTTTTATCAATTTTATTGACTATTTCAAAGAACTAGCTTTTTATATTATTGATTTTCTCTATTTCTATTCTCAATTTATTCTCTGGTCTTCATTATTTCTTTTGCGCTCAGGTTTTATTTAGCAGTGTGTAGTTTCTTGAGATCATGGATTAGCTAATTAACCTGGGTTTTTTCTTTTTCTTTTCTCATGTAAGAAGCATTTGGTTCATGAATTTCCCTCTCTGCAGTGTTGAAGTTCCATCCCACAAACTTTCATTTGATTTGAATTCATTTTCATTCAGTTTAAATATTTCTTAATTCCATTTGAGACTCCCTCTCTGACCCATGAATTATTTAGAAAGGTGCTCCTTGATTTCTAAGTTTTTGGAATATTTTGTTATTTTTCTGTTATTTTTAGTTTCACGTGTGGTCTGAGTACATGCTCTGTGTGATTTTAAAATGTTTATATTTGTTGAGGTTTGTTTCATGATCCACAAACAGGTCAGCCATAAGCAACGTTCTTGAATGTTTCATGGGTACTTGAAGAAAATATATATTCTGCTGTTGCTGGATGGAGTGTTCTATAAATTTCAGAGTCTGCTGGTTATTGGTGTTATTCAGGTTTTCTGTATCTTTACTAATTTTGTTCCTAGTGTTTCTATCAATCACTGAACAAGGAGTGTCAAGATCCTCAACTAGAATTGTGGAATTGTCTATTTTTTTCTGTTCTGCTTATCTTTTGCTTTGTGTGTTTGAATGTTTTCTTGTTTGCTGCACATATACTTACGGTGCTGTATCTTTTTGGTGTATTGACCCTTTATCATGTAACTAATATCCCTTTTTGTCCCTGTTAATTTTCATGGCTCTGAAGTATACTTTATCTGATATCGATAAAGTCATTGCTGGATTTTTATTGCTATTTATATGGTTCATCTTCGTCCATCCCTTTTATTTTAACCTATCCATATTGTTATATTTGAGGTAATTTTTTTGTGGTTAGCATATAGAAGCTTTTCCCCCCTACCATTTGACAGTGTGTCTTTTAATTGGTATATTAGACCATTTATATTTGAAGTAGTTATTGACATGTTTGGAGTAAATAATGTCATTTTCTTCTTTGATTTTTCATTTTTCTTCTTTCTTTTTTTTTAAAGACTTTATTTATTTATTTGACAGAGATCACAGTAGACAGAGAGGCAGGTGAGGTGGGGTGAGCAGGCTCCCCGCCAAGCAGAGAGCCCGATGCGGGGCTCAATCCCAGGACCCTGAGATCATGACCTGAGCCGAAGGCAGAGGCTTAACCCACTGAGCCACCCAGGTGCCCCTAATTTTTCCTCTTTCTTGTTCCTGTTTTTCTGTTTTGGTTTTTGTAAGGGTGGGGAAGGGGGTTTCCTTGCCTTCTTTTTGGACCTTGGACATTTTTTAGAAATCAGTTTTGATTCATGTATAGGGTTTTGGGGGTGTATTTTTTTCCTTTCTTTATCTTTTTAAGTGGCTACTCTAGGTATTAAAATGTATATGTGCAATTTATCACAGTCTCCTGTCGACAGTATTTTAGCAACTTAAGTGCGTTGTAGAAACCTTACTTCTGTTAGCTCCCTTTACATTCACTATTCTTTTTGTACAGTTGTCTTGGGTGTTTACTCTTCATATGTTGAAGACCATGTCAAATGATGTTATTACTTTCTTCAGTCATCAAACATTTTTAGAAGTATATGAGAAGAAGGGTAGTCAATTTACTTCTGTTTCTTAACCCTTTTCATTGAAATTTCAAGCCTCTTTTTGCTCTTATTTCCTTTCTGTTGGAGAACTTCCTGTAGCCATTCTTTCAGGGTAGATCTGGTGACAAATGTTCTTTGTTTTCTTTCATCTGACAATGGATTTATTTCCTTATCTTTGAAGGAAATTTTTTAAAAGATTTTATTTATTTATTTGACAGAGATCACAAGTAGGCAGAGAGGCAGGCAGAGAGAGAGGGGGCAGCTGAGCAGAGAGCCCGATGCAGGGCTCTATCCCAGGACCCTGAGATCATGACCTGAGCCAAAGGCAGAGGCTTAACCCACTGAGCCACCCAGGTGCCCCTGAAGGAAATTTTGATGTGATATAGGGTTCATGGTTGGCAGTTCTCTCCTAGTACTTGCAAAATGTTACGTTACTTCCTTCAGGCCTCTGTGGTTTCGGGTAAGAAACCTGCCATTTAACCATTGTTCCCCTACAGATAATATGTCCTTTTCCCTCTAGCTGCTTTTAAAATGTTTATCTTTAGTTTTCAGAAATATGATTATTCTGTGTCCTGGTGTAGAATTTTTTTATTTATCCCACTTGGGATGTGTTTAGGTTTTTGAAACTGTAGGCATATCCCTTTAGTCAGTCAATTTGGGGATATTTTCAACCTTTATTTCTTCTAGTATTTTCTGCGGGGAGCCTGCTTCTCCCTCTGACTCTGCCTGCCACTCTGCCTGCCTGTACTCTATCTCTCTGACAAATAAATAAAATTTTAAAAAAATCTTTAAAATTTTTTAATATATTTTTTAAAGATTTTATTTATTTATTTGACAGAGAGAGTGAGCCCAAGTAGGGGGAGCAGCAAGGAGAGGGAGAAACACGGGGCAGATCTCAGGACCCTGGGATCCTGACCTAAGCCAAAGGCAGATGCTTAACAATTGAGCCACCCAGGCACCTCTCTTCCAGTATGATTTTTTAGATCCACCCTTTCTCCTTCCTTTCTGGAACTTGAATAACATGTTAAATCTTTTTTTTTTTTTTTAATTGTCCCATGGGTCCCTGAGGCTCTGTTCTTTTCACATTTTTTTTTCCCAGTCTGTTTTATATCTGTTCCGATTGAGTAATTTCTATTAACCTGCCTTTGCGGAAGGGTCAGGGAGTGGAGTGCAGACTGACCTCATTCTT